CCGGACAAAAGGAAAGCGTGTCCCTGCAAAGCTGCCGCAGCAGCGTTTCTCGGGGCCTGGGCCCTTTCCTGCCGCGCGCAGCAGTGCAGTTAGATGCTTGGTGCGGAGGGAACTGCCTCAGAAATCGGGAAAGAGGGGGAAAGGGGGGGCCCACATTTGGAGCACAGCGTCTTCCGGGAGAGGAAGGAGCCAGAACGCAAGCTGCGGCGAGCTCCTGGGGCCCGAGTGACCGCGTGGAGCTTGTCCTTTACTGAGCCTGCCTGAGGCACTGTGGGTTTGTGCAGATCTTGGGATTGCTGCTCCTGGCCCCCCGTTATCTCTGTTGCAAAGAGTGAAATAGGTCTGGTGAGTGTCTCCACTGCTTCTTTAACGGGTAAAATAGATCCCAGAAGAGCCCTGGCTGCTGCTTTTTCCAGACCGTCTACTGTAAATGTGTGCTGTCCTGCTACTCCACTGTCTCCAGGCTGGCTGCTCCGGAGAGCTCTTGGGGGGGGGGGAAAAGGGGGGGGCGGGGGAGGCCAGAAATAGGGACTGAAGTTCAAGGTACTAAATAAGATACAAAATTTCAGCAACTTTTTAGCTGCTTAGCTCAGGCCTGAGCCTGTGTGATTACCCAGGATGGAGTGCTTCATCAGCCCCAGCACTGCTCCCTGCCACAGGCGCCGGAAGGTGAGCGTGGTTGGTCGCACAGACCCCACGCTCCTGTGGATCATGTGGGTGTTTGTAAGGCAGGAGCGCAGCATGGGGATCTGGGCTCCTGAGCAATGCCTGGGTGCGGGTAAGGATGCGCCTTGGGAGGTTCGAGCAGGGCTTGCAGAGCTGAGAGGGGAGCAGACACGGGGAGGGTGGCATGAAGCCACAGTGCAGGCAGCATGCTTGGGTGTCGCACAGCACCAGCCACCGCAAGCAGCTCTGGGGCACCCGCTCCTCCAAAACAAGTCATAGAAACCAATTGCAGGAGGATATTGGTTTGCCTGAAAGAGGCAACAAAATTGGCCGATGGCTGAGCAAGAGCAGGGATGTCTGCTCGCTGTTCACTGAGGAAACGCTCTAAAGTGGAGGCTCTGCAACCAAAGGAGTTCACTGGTAACCGCCAAAGCTGGGCTACTCTTGGTGACAGTGCAAGAGAACAGGGCAGCCTCTAAGGTACAGTAACTTCTGCTAAAGAGGGATGGTGGAAGGGGCTTGGCAGTGCTGTGCTGGAAGATTGCAGAGAGCAACAAGGGCAGAGGAGGACATTTGTGCATATCTTCAGTCCTGCCTTCTCTGATTTGCACCCCAAGCAACTGTCTTCAGCTTTCCTCTGCCTTTATGCAATGCCAGGCACAGGTCACAGGAGGTTTTTCTGCAGAGGAGGTTGTCCTGTCAAGTTTCTACATCCTCCCTTGCCATGGATGCATCATCCTTCCACAGGGTTTGGCACCTACAGCACCAGAAAGGGCATTTTCTGCAGCTCAGCAATTCCTGGCTACCACAATGCAGAATGGTACCAGGAGTCTTCCTGCAGAAACGTGAAGTGCCCAGCAGCAGCTTCTAACATGTGTTTGGCTTTGCTTTGCTCTTGTTCAGGCAGCAGCTGGAGCAACCCTTCCGGCTCAATGGTCGGCCTGGCTGTCATCTCAGCAGACTAAAGTGCAAAGTAAGGCACAGGGTCATGGAAGCTTCATTTTTCCAGAGGTCTGCACTCCTGTGGCTAGTTAAGTAGAAACTGATGGTTTTTAGAAACTTAAATAGAAGTCACAGAGCAATCTCGGTGCTTGTTTTGGTGCGGAGAGGACAGAGCCAGTCTTTTCTCAGCAGTGCACAGGGATAGGAAAGAGACAAAGGACACAAACTGGCACGTGGGAAATTCTGATTATAAGGAAAATGTTTTTCCTATGAGGATGGTAAAACACTGGACCAGTGGGCTCAGAGATGTTCTGGGATCTCTCATCCTTGGAGATACTCTGACTTGACTGGACAAGGTCCTGAGCGACCTGATCTGAGCTGGATCTCCTTTGAGCGGGGGAATGGATTAGAAACCACCAGATTTCTCCTCCCAGCCTCAATTATTCTGCAGGTCTGTGATTTCTCTTCTTCTTGCATGCTCTTCTTGCATAACTGCAAGCACCAGCTTTACAAAAATGACCCAGAGTGGATGTGCTCTTGGCACTCCCGCCAAGCAGAGCCCTGGCTCTCATCCTGCTCAGCCAATACACTGCATCCTGATAGCAACACAGACCATGCTGCCTCAAAAGGCACCGGAGCAGTGAGAGCCTGAGACAGTTTCACTCATTCCCCTCCAGTCCTTCAGCACTTCCTAATGAGTCCGGTTCTCCTTTCTCTGTAGTGACCCGCAGAAGTAAACGTTGCTCCTGCCCACATGGTGCTGAGTGCAGGAGGGCCCAGCTGAAGCAGACAGTCATGAAGCAAAGGCCACAGGCCCTATGGTCTAATTGTAGCATGAAACAAAGTAAAATTGTAGCAAGACACAAAGTAACGTTTGTAGTGCTTTGATTTGTATTAAGATCACACGTAACTGATTTAAATGATAATGTAATCAGCAGGGAGAAAGATCCTGGTCAGACTGGGGAGAGAGGAAAATAAACCCTCTTCCTATCCCTGGTCATATGAAGTTCATTTAATGTTCAAATCAATAGCTAAAGGTGTTGCAACAAGGCTTACTTTGATGCAATGTGTTAGTGAAATTAACCTGAGATGACGTTTTTCTTGGCAAGATCCACATCCCATAAAACCCCGCTTAGTAGCCAACAGCATGCTTGCTAGCAGCCAAAGCTGCGCTGAGCTGAGCAGGTTGTTCCAGGGCTGCTTGTTGGCATGATGCTTGTCTTTATTTTGTTATTTACACTGGGATTTCTCAAGAACAAGTAAAAACCAACCAAATGAAAGGGATCTTCAGCCAAGTCTTAATGCTTTTGTGTGGGAGCTGTCTGGTCTTGAAAAATTTAAGCTTAATAGCTGCATTTCAGCATGGTCTCCTAGGTAGTTCTTGGAGCAGAGAACTTCACTCTCATTGTATGTGAGAATTACTAATGACTTCTTTCTGAGCAGAACATTTTGACCCCTTCTGCTTTTTCTTCAACACTAGCCTATGACTGTTCCCCTCTACAGCTATGAACAGCTGCAGACAGTTTTTAAGGTTTATATTGTTCATCATCTGGCAGGAAATGCCAACTTTTCTTCAAGTACGACCCTTTGATACAGCTTGCCCCGAAAAGACAGTGATGTGGGTGTGCTGGCTACTGTGAATAGGCTCATGTCCTGCTATGACCCAGTTTAGATGCTGGCGGTTCATTCTGCTGAGCTTCAGCAGAACCACACACGGAGCACATTTGTTCAGCATTAGTCACTTCTGCAGCTGAATTCCTGGGGATGACATTGGAGGCCTTTGCAAGAAGGCAGGACTGGTCCAGGAAGAGAAAGGGGACCTATTGACAGTTCCAGGTTCACCACCAGAGCCACACGGTCACCTGGAAACTCTCCATGTGCCTCTTTCTCTGTCAGTAACAGTGTACTGGGTAAGATAGATCCAACTGAACTCCCACTGGCTCAGGAAATACTTTATTCTTTATATTTTCATTAAAAAATACACATAGGAAATGAAACCACAGAACACTTGTGTGATAGGAACAAACGCAGAAGTTCAGAGCGTTGGCTGAAAGTGCATAAGTCATGCTACCGTGTCCCTGATCCCACCCTGTCCCCCAAGCAAAGGAGTCAACAGAATGCTCAATGAGCAGCACTACGTGGAGCCCAGGCACTGAGGGGCCTAGCTGACAGCGGAAGAGAGCCCATGCTCCCAGAAACACAGCAAGGCAGGTAGCATGCTGAGGAGAGAGCACTCTAGTGAGCCAGCAGTGAAGCTCACACTTGGGGTTCACGGGGTATGCAAAGGATAGCTACTGTAAGAGGATGTGGAGTTAAGAGGCAGGGGAATAAAACAGGTGAGAATAAAGGGGCAAAAAGGAATCCTGGGCAGCAGAAAAATCCTGGATAAAAGGAAAATCAACACAATGATCTGGACTGCAAGGCTGATGTGGGTGCACGGGTTGGAGATCCGTCCAAGCAAGAACCCCAGTCGCTCACTAAGAAGTTCTACACTGGTAGTAGCAATCGCATCCCTGCATTCAGGGCCTCAGCCTCTGCAAGGTGACTTCCCCGCAGGGGTGGGAGCAAAGGCACTGCTGAATCACAGCAAGGTTCCCACTGCCAGAAAATGCCGTGCTTTCCAGCTGGGTCAGTCAAGCTTTTCAAGGGAAATATGATGTGTTAAACCTTGCTGAGCCCCTTGACTACAGCACAAAAGCTGCACACCTGCTTCCATACCAGGCAATCTCTTCCTCCCCTCCCCGCCCTCTGCCCCCTGCAGCCTCAGGCTTTTGGGTCTCAGTAGTTGACAGCATTAATCTGCGACTCCTTTTCTGTGCAGACCTGTGAGGAAGCTGCAGACACAGCTACAGTGCAGGACCCCCTTACCACATGCTCACTCAATTTGGCTCTGCACTGATGTGCTCTTGAGGAGCATGTTTAAAACATTCAGTATGTACAAGATGATTTGAAGCTGGAGCATAAGAGCAGCTGGATCCCACCCTCACACATCCACATGTCTGAGAGCAACTGGAGGACCCAGGTGGTCCTGCAGTTTCTGAAGAGACCACCCAGTTGCTGAACGTACACATCCCTGGAAGCATTCACCAGACTGGCTGATGCCAGGGCTAGGGACATCTCTGCTTTGCTGATACAATTAGCCACAGGAACAGCAGAGAATGCAGCTTCTCCTGATCCACTTCACTACCTTTTTTCCAGCTTCACACAGAGCCCCCGATTTCAAATGACTGCTGAGATAACACATTTATGCACATGCTCTAGTTAAGGCAGCACAGAAAGCTGCTATTCTGATGCCTACTTTCACAGCATCCACAACTCTCAAGAACAGTCACTGCAAATCGCTTGGGACTCTTCCTCCAGCAGGGATTTTTCAGGGTGTTCTTCTTTGTAAGCTCCCTCCACATCACTTCTCCCGAAGGACACAGACTCCAGCATCACAACGCTGCATCCCCAGGGAGGTCACTACTTCCCAGTTGTCAATGATGGGATCGTAGCACTCGATGCTGCTCAGCAGTGAGTTGCCGTCATATCTGCAAGGAGAGAAAATTACGTGTGACTGATGTTGCGGAAGGAAGAGGCTGAGGGTGTTCACAGCCCTTCCTGGGAGGCTGCACAGTTTTATACAGCAGGGATAGCCTGAAATAAAACCATTACAGTAGGCTCCCTTTTGCTGTTTGCTGCCACTCTCCTGCCTGTCTTGGCCCTGGACCAGTGCATCATGCTGCTTGTTTAGGTTGAGCATGGGGACTCCAAGGGCTGTCTTCAATCAGAAAGCTTGAAAGGTAAATACAAGGAGAGGCCACCTGAAACATAGCAGCAGGATCTGTCACCTAAACTCACTTGCACTTGTTCCAGCACACAGATATGCAGAGAGCATCTCCCTCTCCAGCCCATCCCAGCCTCTTACCCAGCGATTGCGTACAGCCTTCCCCGCAGCACGGTGGCCCCCACGTAGCAGCGGGGGGTTGTCATGCTTGTTACAGTTGTCCAGGAATCAGTGCGAATATTATAGGCTTCCACGGAGGAGAGATGTGCAGTCCCATCGAACCCACCAACTACATAAATATGGTCATTCAACAGAGCCACTCCAGCCCCTAGAGAGAGAGGAAGAAGCAGTTATACCTACGAGCGACACTGGCATCACCATGCCCAGGGCTCACTGTTATGAGGCTGAACTAGATGAGTTCCCGCTTCTTCTCCGGGACACAAAGGATGTTTTCTTACACTTAAAACTCCCATAAAAGATCTGTCATAACCCAGGATCTTCTGCTGCTGTTGTTCTTGCCTCCAACATGATACAGGAAAACCCGTAACACTACCAAATGTTGCTGGATCTCCAAAGGAAGGGAGATCGACTAATACTGCAGCTAGGAACATGAGATGTTTGTTCACCTTGGCTGACAGACACACCAGCCCTCTGAACAGAACAGAGCAAACCCACTCCGCTGGTGGGTGGCTGGCTGAGGCTCTGCTGGGGAGATCACCATGGAGTTGGGTTTCTCTGGTGTTTCTGGCTCCCTGGCGTCACCCAGCCCCTGGCTGTAGGAAGGAGAATGACGCTGCTGCTGCTGCTGCTGTGTGTGAAGCTGGAGAAAGGACACTGCTCCTCCGGCAGCAGGGAAAGGAAAACTGGTGTCTGGCACCTTCACTGCACAGTCACAGAAGTGTAAGGGGCTGAAGCATCTGTCCGAAAAACTGTTCTCGTCTGCCTCAGTAAAAGTAATAAATAACACAGTTGGCCCAATTTAGGATTTATTGATAACTTCGAAAAATCAATCTCGGCCAGCCTCTGTTGCTAAGCTGCAGCTCCTTTCAGATCTAAGCGCCAAGAATGCAGTAAGATAACAGGGCATTTAGTGGCTTTAGATGCTCTTGCCAACAGCCTCTGCTGTTTTAAGCTGTATCTCTAGAGCAGGGCAATCCCTGTCAGGGTGTTACTGTCAACAGGTAACCACAGCACTGATATGAACATCCCTGAGGAAACAAGACAGCTGCTCTGCAGCTCTGGGGACTGATTTGTATCTTCTACAAGCAGGGTATAAGAGATTTCCCGTTCCACTATTTGCAATCTCACTTTCACCATTTATCCTCCTTGCTGAGAGCACCGAAACAACTGGGAATGGCCAGATTGCCCTGATGGGGTCTCTGATGGCTTTACTGATGAATAGGAAGATGTCAGCTGGAATGGGAGACTAGACCAAGGTCTGATCAGGGAAGTCAGGTCTAGCAAAGCAATATGGCCAAGGTTTTTGACGGGTGGCCCATGTCCGGAATCTGTCCTAAGAGACTAAGAGAAATAAGGAGACAATTTGTACAAATAAAGGCAAGATTACTTTTAGTCCTGGTCCTCCTTGGAACTCCAAGACCTACATGAGGGCAGCTTTAGAAAGAATGTCAAAGCCCTGGGACAAAGGAAGTCCTACAGGGTCCAAGATCATTGGTTCGGATGGACTGAAACTGATACTAGGATGGATGTTATAAGTGCAACTGGCGTTAGTACCAAAGAGGGGCAGCATAAAAAGCTGGACCAAAAAATAAGGTCAAGATAGAGCAGACAGCTGTTCCAGGGTGAATCTCTGTTCCAGACCTCGGTGCTCAAGTTCACAGCACTGAGGAAGGAACCTGGCTGAGTTGGTGCCAGGATCAAGAGCCTCACAATGTTCCTGCTTCCTTCTGGCACTGAGGGAGTGTGCTTTTTGGGCTGAGGCACTGCTACCAAGAGGTCTCCAACTCTTCTGGGAAGCTGACAAGAAACTGGGAAATGCTTTTCACAAAAGGTCTTCCCTTTGAACTCATTGCTTTTGGTCTTGCCAGAAACCATCTTTTCTGGTGCAGACAATAGACCTCTTGGGAACAGGCATCTGCATCCTTAAGCTTTCTGGAGATCCATGGACAGGTCTTGTACACTGCCTTTGATATGGGAAAACCTGCAGCTTTATCATGTATTTATATAAGGAGTCTTCCTGGGTGTGGAAAGTGACCAGCTTTTAAATCAAATCCATTCCTGGCATATGGGAAATACTTCCCAACCCATGCCTAACAGGAATGGCTCTGTCACAGGAGTAAATATTTTAAGTTGGGGGTTTCAGTGAATGTCACTGCAGGCACAGGAAAGCTTAACTGTTTCCAGCCTAGAAAACAGTTTAAACTGAGTAACTAGTTTTGTCCCTAAACAAGAACACTGCCAGAGAGAACAAACTGAAACAATGCTGCCTCAGGTAATTGTGAAGGGCATATATTGAAAGAAATAGAGAAAAAGCAACTTTAAAGGGGTTTTGAAAGAGTGCCTGTAAGGACAGCAGAATTACTTCATCATGAACGACAAGGGGGTGAAGGCACTGAGCGCCCTGCCCTTTCACATGAGGCTAAGCAAAGCCAAGGCTGCTCTGCAGCACTACCACGAAGGTTTGGGGCAGGCGGGCCTGAGGTTCAGTGCGATGGCAGATGCTCAACACTTGAAGGCAAGTCACTAGTCAGTGAGCAAACCGGCAGCACAGGAGTGGCACCAACCCCACAGGAACGTTTTTGAGAAACAAACAGCTAAGACAGAAGCTTACTCTAAAAGCAGGATTTAAACTACATTTTTCTGCTAGATACAGCTGCCAAACTTAAAGCTCAGACAGGGCTCCGAGCAGCAAAGAGAAACTAGGAGCTGCGGTGAGTGCAACTTTCAAGTCATTAGCATGCAGCACTGTTGCAATGTAACACCGTGGTATCAGCATTGCTCTCTGCTTCAGGGTTGCCCCAGGTACTGACACATTTCACAGGAAGCAACAGGGCTGAAGGAGGGCCTGGCAGAGCACTCCTGCCTTTGAAGGTCCTGTGCAGCTGAGGAGCACTGACTTAATGCAAATTGTTTCATTATCTTAATCACTATGGTCAGTAGCTTGTCCCTTGCTAGCTTTTCCCCAAGCCACACGCTGTTCCTAGTCATGGAAGTCACACAAAACTTCCTCCTCCTCCTTGTAAACCCTCCATTCCTTTATATACATCTTTCCATGGGATGCGGATATTAGGCATGTGAAGATCAATCCTTCTCTTGTGGAGCTAAGTCAGCACTTCCTGGAATCGTCCCTTCTCTAAGCCAAGCGGCTGTGATGTACTAACCTCCCAGTGGAGCCAGTCAGCATCCTCCAGGGTAGCAGGACAAGCCAGCAGTGACTGCTTACTCAAAGCAGCGCAACACAGTTTGACCTCAAGGCACAGCAGGCTCTTACCTGAGCGCTTAGTGGCCATTGGAGTGACATTTGTCCAGTGTCCAGTGTGGGGATCGTACCTCTCTACAGAATTCAGTATGTTCAGCCCATCGTAGCCACCTGAGACAAAACACAGGAGCAAACCATGGGTCTGACTTTTGGAAAACCTTTTCTGTGTAGAAAGTGGTGATATGCCTGGCTCATCCTCAGCATGGCATGGCACTGCGATTGGCACAACTCACAACAGATGGGGGCTGTGGAAACAAAGAGGATCTCTACAGCTTGCAGTGCCAGAGCCTGAGCCAGCTCAGAGTGAGCCCTGACCCTGCACCATGCAAGGCGGCGCCGGGAGAGAGCACTACCTCTCCGAACCAAAGACCTCCCTCTGAGCATGCTGGTGCCATCCTGCCAGTGCAGATATACAGCTTCCAGGCCTGGTGCTGGCTCAGGATCTGTGCTGCATGGCTCCGGTCCACCTTCTCCAGCTGACACTAGGAGGCTGCATAGAGCAGAGGCTGGGACATCTTGGAAGATGAAAGCACAGAAGGCAGAAAGAGCTGTTTCACAAGAGACCACCACGAAATCATGTTTGTGCTGCTTCAGCAAAGGAGCAGTGTGGTGGCACCCACCTGGAGGGACAGGATGGGGAAGGGGAATTTGGGGGAGGGAAGTGAAACCCATAAACCAGTGTCTGATATCTGAGACTCCCCAGGAATGGCACTGCAACCAGTGTGGGTGGAAAACAGCGCTGTGTTTGTCTTTTCTGGGGCTTGGGAGGAGCATCTATAGAACAAGCTTATTAAAGTCTTTGGAGTGATTTACCCTCTAGCACTCTCCTGGCATTCACAGCTGGCATGGGCCTCTGAAAACAAAACAGTTGCTACAGAAAGGAGCTGGAACACATACAGCTCCGGATACATTTCCGGAGCACTACAGCCAACACTGCTTCCTGTGGAGCTGATGCACCCCTGTCCTCTAGCTATCCGCTTCGTTTCTAGGGTGTTTCCACTACTGCCCAATCTCTGCAAACCTGAGCAGTTAAATGGCACTGCTCATCCCTCTCCCTTCAGCTGCTAAATGCAGGTTGACTGTTCCCAGTTTGCTTCTAACGGCATTTAGTGTAGTTATATAGCATCTCCAAGACTGAGAGACCCATCTGTGCACAAACAGAGCTGTGCAATGCCCAGCGTGGTGAAGTTTGCAACAGCAATCTTCTGGGAGTCTCTTCTAGCCTGGAAACAACACAACTTGTGCTCCCCGCAGACAGCATCTGCACTGTCATTTTTGTAGAAACCACATATTTGCAGAATGCCTAGAGGTCCTAAGAGTACCTACCAAGGCAGTAGATAACTCCATTAGCTACAACAAGCCCTGCTCCTTCCCGTGCTGTCTGCATGTCTCCCAGCATGCTCCATTGATCAATGTTTGGGTCATATCGTTCCATACTGGTGTGACGTCGGCTTCCATCGAACCCACCAGAAACATAGATCATGTCTGCAACGTTAGACAGAGGTTAGACTCAGTGAAGCACTTTTCAAACATACGCACGTGCTGTGGAGCAAGGAGGCCTTCACAGATGAGGCAAACCCACAACATGGACTGCAAAACACAAGAACATCTATAGATCTTGGCACGTTCAGAACTAAAGGCAAACCCAGCTTCCTCGCCCTGGCTCACTGCGTTAGCCTGCTCACAGACCCCACAAACTAAACAAACATAAAACCTGTCTGGCCCTGAAATCTGTTTCTTGGTGATGGATGAAAGAGAACATGTACGCTCCAGTTGTTTTTTTCATGCTGCAGTAGATATTGAAAAACTGCCATACCCAAACCCTGCCCATCATAAACACCACCTCAGCACCTCCTCACAGTAAATGCTTACAACGCGTTAAATACACTGGTAGCAAAACAAGAGAGGATCCAAAGGACGTGCCTGGATCATCATCAAGACCAGTCCCTTATACTGGAGACCTTACTTCATAAAATGCTTTCACAAATCTGTCAAGTATCACCCTCAAAGCAGTTACATTTTTACTGAACTTTCATTAGAATAGATACATTAATGATCTAATATTTAAATGAATAATATTTAACCAATTTTATTTATTAAGAAGATATTCTAATATATTCATTAGAATGAGTATAGAATTGCTCCATACACTATTGAATTACTCTAATTAGAGCAGAAGATTAGAGTAACTGCTATGGTAATGGCTAGAAACCTTCCTTCCATTTCCTACCAATTCTTTATGGCTTGTTAATAGCTATTTGTTTTTATTCAATTCTTATATTGCACATTTCCTTTTCTAGCCAAGTTATACTTATAAAAAACAATCATATTCCTTCTTGCTATTTCTTTTGCCAGCATAAGCAAGCTGAAGTCTTCTGCTTTGCTTTGTAAAGCAGTTTCCTGTTTCCAAGTCTGTCCCAGGAATCCTTCTCTGCACATGCTCCAGTTTCAGCCTCTCTCCACTGCTGGATGAATATAGCTGTCCTCAGCAACCTGTACTCAGTAATATGCAGTCACCCCCCCAAGAGCTTCCCACTCCATAATTCTTCACAGAGCTCCCTTCCCTTAAGTCACAGACATACGCCAAAGGAATGAAGCAGAGACAGAACCCCTCTCAGGATTCACGGGCAAGAGGTATTCGATTTCTACATCCACATGATGAGAAGCAAGAATTTCAAACTCACCTCCTCCCTCAGAGCCACCCCACTCTGTGCATACCAGCATAGGGCATTTCAGGACAACAACGGAACAGCCTCTACTGCCTTATTAGTATAGTGACCAGGACATACCTCCAAGGGTAGTGGCTCCAGCCAGGCCTCGCCGTACGTTCATCGGAGCCACAGAATACCAGATACCATCCTCATCTGATGTATAATCCAAGCACTCCACGGAGCTGAGGCGAGAGCGGCCATCATACCCCCCAATCACATAGATGCGATCATGCAAGGACACTGTGGCAACATAGCGCCTTTTACGGGTGATGCTCTAAGACGGTAAAAAAGAAATAAAAGGGTCAAGAAGAAGAAATAACACTGATGCACTGAGAACAACCACTGTTATTCCATCCTCTTTTGCTGCTCTGCTGGAAAATGGCCCAGTGCTACAGAGGCAAATGGCACTATGGATTTGGAGGATGTGAACCTGGATCAAATGCTTTGTCTGCCTTCCTCTGCCTACAGTCTGTCCCTGCCTGTCTCTTTTCTCAAGGCCAGGTCTCCTCGCACTAACATATTTTGCATTAAATGTCAGTTATCTTATGCTGCTACTGAATCTTTGATGCATCCTGGAGTCGCGTTCCTCCCATTGACATCCCACAGAGACTATCAATGGGAAAATGTGGAGATTTGGAAGATCTGATGGAAATTTCTGAAACTTTTCACCTCCAAAAAAGAACAGGAATTTGGGAGATCAGGAGATACAGGTTCTTCTGGGATTAGTGATAATAAAGAAGAGGCAGTTCTCCTCCATTTCACAGAAATACAGGTGATTTTAAATTTGGGTACAAATAGTTCTCAATACAGGAACTTTCACTTCTCTCTCTTCCCTACTATCTCCCATTACACTTAGAAACAACGAAACCAGAGAACTCATGCGTCCTGCCCCAAAGCAGGACTGATTGCACTACTCCTGTTGATATTTCAATCATCACTAAACTTCAGGGCCTAACACCCCTCTTAAGAAGAAATGTGATAGTTCTCACTCTCACAAAAAACATGTGGGTCTCTGTAGGCTCCTCTAATTAGAACCATAACAACAACAGTCTTTTATACAACGCTTAATTAGTAAATCTCCAAACATGAACAAATTTCAGCATTCACGTTGTAAAACTCAGCAACCCTAATGAATGTAGGTCAGAAATTTTAAGCAGAACACAAAGGATAGCCCAGAGAGGAACGTTACATAACTGATGCTTTCTTAGCATCAGTCTATCAGTGTTTGATTGCTGCATGCCTCTACAACCCAGCGGTGGTCAAAAATGGTCCCTTACTGGCAAGAAACTCCACTCCTGAGTCTTCGGGTCATATTTCTCCACAACATCAATAGGTGACTGCTGGCTGCCAAAGCCTCCGATCACAAGCAGTACTTCATTAGCTCCTAGAGCAAAGAGGGAGAGCAAAGTCAAGTCAACCTCTTCACAACCAAAGGGTGACCTCAAGGGAATCATTTGAGAAAACTGAGCCTGCCTTGGTGAAACGGGCTGCCTCTAAGTCATTGTTTTCATCACTGCTTTGAGTGTAGACCCTATCCTAGGCATCAGTCAGCTGGCCTCCCTAACGTCAATAAGGAGGAAGAGAGCGCGAGAGAAAAACTCTTCCAGGAGTTTTGCTCCCTCTCTTCCAGGGAGCACGACTAACTCGCATGTTCCGAGTTGTCTGCTGAAAGAGTCAGTCTCTCCTAATGTCAGAGGGTCTCTGAGAAGTCCACCTGGCTAAGTCCAGTGCTGACATTGACTGGTGTATGTCTTCTTTTGTCTTCTTTTCCACAAAATCTTTTCAAACTTCTTCCCAGCCCACTACAGCTGAAGGAGGATGGCTGCTCCTCTGCATCCTTCTCACAAAACAGGGCCTTCTTCCCTCATTTATAACTGACATCCAGACCAGATGGTACTTTTCTTTGTCCATCATTTCACTGAGGAACAAACTCCTTCCCAATCCCTGACTTTCTTATTTTATAACTAGGGACACCACTGCCCTGTATTACCATCCTGATAAAAATGGACAATTCCACAACTGTTGCAACAAAGGCAAGAAGTCATAGAAACTAACATTCAAGGCAAAAATGGAGGGCTGAGGGAAAGATATTTCCAAAAACTGTTTAAAAAAAAAAAAAAAAAGGAAATCCTCATCTTTTTCCTATAAAAAATTGAGAGAGAAGTAAGAAGGGGACTCTTACATTTTTTATCTTCTTCCTTGTGTGTCATCATTTGAACAATATGCTAAAATCATTAACAAAAAAGAGTCACTATGACCTCTCCTGGTAGTTTCTGTTTGTTATTTATGTCATCATGTCCTATTCCTCCATTGTACCGCTAAGTGCCACAAAAAGGCAAAGCTGGAAAAATTGCCAATATCCAATTTGATCCCTCTGTACGTTACTGTGTCAAGGTCATGTAAAATGGGGCAGCATATTTAGGTAGTGTGGGAATGCATAGTTCAAGCTCTCTCCTTCTCACATCCATCTTCTGTCATGTTTGTGTGCGTGTCTGACAAGAGCTGTCTGAAGAACTCATGAAATATTTTGCCAGGAATTCTTTCTTAAGACTTGGGTAATTTATTTCAAAGCTGCCTTCTCTCTCTTTTCTTTTCTTTGAGGTGGTCACCCAACCTTTCTTATTTTCTCCCTGACAGTTAAATAAAACCTGTGACCTGGAAAGTTTTAACTTCTTGTGTAATGACGACCTTGAAGGTAGGTTTCTGTTATAGTTTTAAAAATAGATGCGAATCCCCAAGATTTCTTGGGCCTGTTCTATAACAGCAAACTTTACTAGTGTTTAGAACTGTCCAAGTTTTCACTGCAGAAGGACTGAACACCAAATAACAAAGATTTAACAAGACTTGTTCTGCCACAAAGTAAAAAGCTGACACCTCAAATGAAAGAGAATAATATAAAAAACAACTGGGAAGGATTCAGAAAAGAGATCCAACAAAAATTTGGGACTTGGAAAGCCTCCTGTTCAACTGGGCCCCTAAAAGCACAACCATTTCAGTTTGTCCAAGAGAAAGTTAATAGGCAACTTGATCACAGTTTATAAGTAACATATGATAAGAGCATTCCCGATAGCACATGGCTATTGAATCAATGAAAAAAGGTAGGGCTGAATCCAGAAGATGAAACTTAACAAAATAATACAACCTACAAATAGAGTGTACAATTTTTACCTGTGTGAGCAATTAAGCAATGAAACAGTGATGTGATGTCTCTTTCATCAGCAGAAGCATTTTAACCAAGAAAAAAAATGAAATGTCTTTCTAGAAGAGCAGGTTGAGCTGAACTAGTTGTCACTGAAATTGAGGCAGGATGTTCCCGGAAAAAACAGAAGACATGCTGTGGCCTGGACTATACTGGAGGTTAAACTACATCATAACAACATTCCCTTCAGGCCAAAAAAATCTAATCAATGCATCTCTGACAAACCTACTCTGCCCTCCTCCTTTAGTGTTTAAATTGCTTCCTGTCTCCTAAAACAATATTAATAACAGGAAATGGCTGTGAAGGGGCTTTCAGGGTCCCTTTCCAATGAACAAGAAGTAGCACTGGAGAACATGCAGAAAGGTTTGCTGGTGGGAGGAAGTGTCAATGCTGGCACTAAGGCAATGCCCTGTGAGTGCACCCAGGACAAAGGCATGCCAGAAACTGTCCAACGAGAATAAGTCTGAAGATAAGAGAAGGGGTGTCAGGTGAGGAAGGGCCACTAACATACTTTCTCTTCTTCTGCAGGACATTCCTATTGTTTCTTTTACTCCATGTGCTTCCAAACATAAGCCAAGTGGTTTCCCAACAATCCAGCTCAGTAGGAGCTACTGAAATACAGGAAGAGTTTTTCATTTTTGTGCTTCAGCAGACCTCCGAAAGGAAAGAGGCACCTCTCCATCCCCCCCTTTGTGCCTTCCCTTCTTAGATTCCTTGTCAAAAACTCATCTTCACTCTAACACTGCTGTCTCTCCCAGCTCTTCTTATTTCTGACACTGATGCTTACCTTTTTAGGCAGGAAGAAACTCTTCCTACACTTCTTGGAGAGCTGCATGCTGAGACAAACAGATCTGGAGGCATGGACAGCTCAGAAAGACAACGGTCATGGTTACTGCACAGGCCTGTGATTAAAGGCGACCAAATAGCCCTAAGTAACTGTGCTCTGAAACAATGTATCCGTCCTCTGCTCCAGTCCCTTCTCTGTACCATTGGGACTGTGGATTGACACCTTTCTGCTGCGAAGCACTTCAATACAATTACAAGGCACTAGACAGCGCGTATAATACAATACCTGCCAATGCCCCAGACCTTCTCAGTGTCCTTTCCTTTGCTGCTCACCTAGACGTGCTCTTGTCCTGGGTCCTTGCATCTGACTCCGGAGCTCAGGCCGAAGATGAAATTTCTTAGCTTCGTCTACGAGGTCTCTGCACTGCAGACTGCATCGAATAAAAGGCTGGGGAAAAACATAAGTCACTGGCATATATGATATATTTAAAAATTCCTAATAAGAACTGCCCTCAAGTCAACTCCAGTCAGTTCAGACAGCATTACAATGATCTGTGTGCTGTCTGTGCCTAGTAGTCTCAGGGCGTAAATATTGCACATAAGGAAAGGCAAAGACAACTTAAGACTGGACTGCAGCTGAAAAGATGGTGCAAATTCAGAAATGGCTGATTTCTCATGCAATGTCTGGCACTGCAGGTGTCCTTATGAAAATAAGCATATTGCAAAACTAAGGAAAATCCACTTCTGTAACATTTAAGCTAGTAGAAGTACGTCTGGGAACTGGCAGTGAAACTATTATTTTAAATCAGTTTGGCTGGACCAGCCACACATAATCAACTCTCAAACAGGCAGCTGCCATTGAAGAAGAAACAAGGAGCACAGCACAAACTAAGTAGTTTTGCTGGGCCTACTAGTTTGATCTCTATGCTGGGCATGTACGTGAGACATTGAGCCAGGAAGAGGCTACAGGAGCAGTGAGACCCTCTTTCAAAAAAAGCCGGAGGCACCGCAGCTCAAGGCCAAAGTCTCATCTCCTTTTCCTTGCATAATGGCATAGAGTTCCCATCCCTGGGTGAGCGATTGGACCAACCTTCCCTAAATGTCCATGCTAGTTGCCTGTCTCAGCCTAGAGAAGGAGACCTGCTACTGCTTTCGAATGGAAGACAGAAAGCACTTGTTAGAAACGACAACAGATGACGATGAAAAGGTGTTACTAGTCAGGAGACAGTTGACTAATTCCACAGGTTGGGGCTCCCTGCCAACTGAAAAGCATAGAAAACTGCTTCTGAGCTTGCTCTGTTTTTCTTTTGATCCTTCCTTGAAAGGGTAAGACAGTGGGCTCTCCAGCTGAACGGGGACAACATCACGGTTTCAGCATCAAAACACATCAGTAGAGAAACTACTTTTAACATGTTCTGTTAGGATAGCAGGGTCAAACCTGGGAACACAACAATCAAACATAGACACTAGCTCCCAGCTCTTTTGCACCCAGGAACCCAAGCTGCCGATACCTCGGTGTCGATGACATCTGTGATGTAGCGGGGGGTAAGAAGTGGCATGCGCACATATTGCAGCAGTTCTGGCAGTGATGCTTCCCGTTCTTTTTTTGAGTGCTTCACCCAGTTTATAACTGCCTCAAAAACAGGCTCTTCAGAATCCACCTGGTAAGAGGAGGCATACGCTGATCAGATTGTAGGATATTATTTCAACAACATGCCATGGAACAGACAACTTTCAGGCTGTTGACACTGCTTCACAGCTAGCAAGAGACTGTGACAATTCGAGTCTGTATTTACATGCACTATGAAATTCCCTTGTTTTCTTTTTCTTAAAACTGATTTTGTTTTCTCCTTATAGCTGAGATCAGCAATGGACAACAGAAATATCTGAAAAGTGAGATTTACAGTACATAGCAAAGTGAGCAGCTGGGAGCCACAACATGTTGCGAGAGAGCCCACAGAAAGGCAGTAACTCGCAGGACAGCTCCCCTGAGCTCCCAGCTGAGCAGAAGTTAACATATTGCAGAGCGGAAAGTACCATCTTAAAGAATGATTAGAGAAACGTTGCCTTTTTAAAGAGTAGTGACCCACTAAAACCTGCGGGGGGGATTCTGTAGCTCTGCGCTCATGTACTGACCTTGTAACACCTTGGCCATACAGGCTACATTTAAGGCCTTTATTTGAATTCACGTTTTACAAACCATTAAAAACTGGACTTTGGCTGTGAAGAACCTCAGGGCGTGAATATTACTGTCCTGACTCTGGTTTATTTCTCTCTTCACTTAGGACCAGCATGTGCAAGTGCCTACACCACTCCCAAATATTACACACACTAAACCATCTAAAGTTGGTATTTTCAGAGAATCTCAGGTGCTTTGGACAGCTTAACAAATGCAGCAGCTCCAGTGCACGCCGAGCACAGCCATGCAAATCCATCTATGGTTACCAAAAGAGAAAGAATTGTAAAAAGCCCTATTACATGTTATTTATGCTTGGTTTTCTTTTTGTGTGCCTTTAGATCACTCAAAATGAAAGCAAATCAAACATCAATTTATTATCATGAGGTCTGTTAACTGGCATGTAATTTGAAGACAAAAGGAGATACTGTAACAGGAAAATTCAGTCTTCCCACTAGTATACGACTGGTACACTGTGAAGTTCAGTTTGAAGTGGTTCGTTGCACAATGTTCTAAAGCAGGGAGCCTCGGAGGTTAATTATGTAAGGCAATTCTTCCATTCCATTGATTTATATTTGTTACACTGTAATTTCAAATGGCCTCTTTATAGTTGAATTACAGGGAAAGGACAATTAGAGCTCACAAAAGGATAGCATTCAGAGCTCTTTATTGTTTCCAATTTTCCCCACCTCCTCCATAAATGCAGTAATGACAGATGGTTTTATTCCTTCCTGGACCGACTGTCCTCTGATACATTTAGTAGTTTTGTTATTTAGATTGTTTCTGTTTCTTGCTATATGATGAGTAATACTGAACACAGCATGCCAGGGAGGACCTGCCATCACACTTCTTGAATAGCCAGCGGATTTTCCAGAGGGTACTTCCTCAGTATCCTCTAACAGCCTCTCTGGGGGGCTCTTGCACCTTAGCACATCACTCCTGTATTATCCATAGCAACAGCTAGATTTGTGCCATCCCTCTTCTTCAGGCATCACAGTGAATTCACATGCCACAGTGTGTGTGCACGGCCTGAATCAGTCCTTCCAATCCACACTGAATTCCACTGTGGATCATCTGACTAGTTTGATTGAGGTCATTCTCAGGTTCCTCATTATTTTCTCTTGACTGTCCAGAAGTGTTACGTCAGTACTCAGCACAACCCACATAGGCTCAAACCTTCATATCATTAAAGCTGCTGCTTGTCAAACACCAAACACACTCAGCCTTTCTCCGCTGTTGACCTCAGCCTGTACTAGGGCCTTTTACTGCCGTCTTGCATGTTATTTCTCAAACGGATCTATTAACAAGAGGACGTCAGCTCTGCTGAAGGCCACTTGCAAGGCAGACTGGAATACATCAACAGTTCTCCTCTGACTACTGCCTTATTGGCTTTTCAGAAATTCTACTGGAGATATCCCTTACATTGCTTTGCTTTTGTGATTTCATGTCACTGTAAACACTGAGTAATGATTTCTTCAAGGACTTCTCTTAGAGCTGAAACAAACACCAACTCTCTCTGAAGTCCATCTCAATAAGACAAACAAGGCCTCCTGCCCATTACCAATGAATGTTTAACTTATTTCAGTTCTCAAGAAAATATGTTGTCATAGAACATTTTGAAAAAAAGTATCTGGCAGGTTCCAGCCAAGTAGTAAATTCTCCACAAACCAGTCCTAAGGGAACAAAACCTGCACCTAAAACCACAGGCAATAAAATCTGCACATAACTCTCTAAAGAATCAGACTACCTTGCACCATCATGCATTCTGCTGCTTGTGAAAGCAGAGGACATTCACATGCCTGGGATGACACCTGCATTCCTAAAGCCGCTGAGTACCATGCATAAGTCTACAAATAGAAGTTAAAATCTTGGAGATATTTCTGATCTAGGCACTGATATAACTTGTCTCTGTAACCTCTGAAACCTCCTCCAGGGAAAGGAGCAGCCAAGAGAACAGGAATCTCTAGAGGTTATTGCCTGTGATTGTCCTATTTGCAGGGAAGCCTAGCATGTGATATGCTACACGTGATTGACCAGTTTCAGATTTTGTGGCTAAAAAGTTAGAAGAAAGTATGTGGAAAATTACTACCAAATGCAGGGACTGTGCGAGAAGTCCATGCTAGGAGTGCGGACTAATTGGCCCTAATTTCTGACTGGTTTAAACATTTAACTTTAATTGCTTTGCATAGTAACGGTACTTTCTAGGTTTACCTGAATTTCATCACACTTGATGAGCTTTTCAACCTCTTCTTGGTTTAAGAGGATAAACTCTTCATGCTGAACGACCTCTGGAAAATGTTTCTGGCTGAAGACCTCTGCAGCTTGCATTAGATCAACGCAGTTGTGTGTCTCAGCAAAATCCCGAATGCCCAAACAATTTGATGGATCCAGCTGGCTTTCCAGAAACTCACAGCAAGCTTGTTTCACACCTATGGGTAATTGGAGGGGTGAATGAGCACTTCATGCTTGGAATCAAACTGCTGGTTTGGAAAGGGCTTCAGAAAAAGTTCTAAGCAATAATGAAAAAACAACTCAAAAAGTTCAAAAATAACACAGAAACACACATGTGCAAACATTTCTTCAGAAGGACATGAAAACATAAAGCAGTAGACCACTTGTCTGGGCATTTGTGTATTTTATTTAAATGCAAAAAAAATAATTAAGTACTAGGAAGAGACTCAAACATGAACCTTACCCAGCTTCATGGATTATAAGCCAAAAATATATGTGCTAATGGATGTGGCTACCAGATTTCTAGGTTTTCTCCCACGTCTTTTTGATAGTTGCCTGGGATTTGTGGATTCTCGTAGCTTTACAGAATCACCGAATGGTTGATGTTGGAAAGAACCTTTGGAGATCATCCAGTTCAACCCCCTTGCTCAAGCAGGGTCATAGACTTCATAGGCGCATGTGCAATTTCATTAACCAGGCTGCTATGATCCAGGCATACTATGATGGCAAGGTCAAATGATTTCAAGGATTTGCTTATTATTAGAAGTCAGTTTGGCTGTAATGTTTATGTGCTATACAGCCCACAACTCCTCCTGAGAATTTTCAGGCAGAAACACAGTAGGTCAAAGCATAGAACAATAACCTCTTTCATCATCTTTTTTCCATACAGGTCAGTTCCTCTACCAATGAGACCACAGTTCACAAGACAACCCAAGAAGTTTGAGGTAAACTATATAGTTTCGAGACACAAGGGCTCAGGCTTGGAATCAACATAGTACTTACAAGTATCACGCCTCCCACAACCTATCTTCTTTATAGAAGGTCAGACAACCCAAATATCTGAATAGCAGCAATTGTGCAATTTGTGGTGATACTTGGCAATTACCTTTCAGCTGAAGCAGACATGCTGCTGGGAGCAATTCTTGGACGTTTTCTACTGTCACATGAACAGTTTCTGTATACACAAAGTCTAGCAGGATTTCCATGGTGGAAGCTGTCAGTCCCTGGATATCTACATAGGGTTTGTCTTTCTCTGAGAGCTGTAAATTAGAAGGGAGACAAGGGTTTACTTTTCAGGAATCTCATCAAAAAGCCAACAACACTCAACACGGTCTTAAAATGTGATCTATTAGAGAGACTTCAACAGTGATTTGGTACTTCTCTTTTTGTGTTCACTGAAAGAATAAGGGGAGGGAAGGAATTTCTTTAGAGAATTCACCTACAGGATGAGTAAAAGAGACAGTTTACTATTATTAGGGAGGACAGTTAAACTGCATTGTAAAAGGAGCAAGCTGAGATTTGAGAGAGCAGAGATTGTGTGTGTCATTTACATATGACAACTAAACTCTCTCTCCCATGCAACAGTTTCATGCTTTACTAGAAGAGACAGTTCAGTGGGGTTCTTCCCTGGCCTCGATGTATATGACATGCTACAGCTTACAAAGTCCCCACATTCACCACCCTACTCTAAAACCAAATGAAATAAAACTCTTCCTTAACTGTTCAATTCCTGGTCCATTTTGCAAGCTTATGGTGAAAGCCCCTAAAAAGAATGACTATTTATAGGCCAGAACATTCAGAATTAAAGGTTAAATGTAAGTTTAACTTGAACATTTGAAAGTAAAGTGATAGTACATACAGTGATAGTACTTAAACAATCTTGACTTTGTCCCCTTACCAGCAAGAGCTTTACATTGTCATTTTATCATCTGTAAGGTACATCATTTTGGAACAACTATTTTTTCTAAGGAACGTTACTGTCTCAGTCAATCTTTGGGAATAGGAAATTCTGCAAATCCACCCAATTTGCACCTCTATAAGTACAGACCTGAGACTGTGTTTCACAGAGCATTAGTTATTAGTGGTTTAGTGCAGCCATTATAAAGCTGCTGGCACAGCATCTGATGATTCACGAACAATTGGCTAGCATGTGGAATCACTAATCACATCCTGCACATAGCTGCAAGCTCTTGTCAGCATGGATGGATCTTAACAGAGAGGGATGTCTCCATGAAGCACACTGCAAAATCAATCTTTTTTCCTGTGACTTACGAGTAAGTAGTCAGTGTCAGCGCAAGTGTGATTCAGATGAAAGCCCTTGACTTTTCTTGCCAAGAATGAGGTTAAAGTTGGTTACAGACACATAGTGCAGGGATGCACTGAAGAGAAAGCGTGATCAAAGCGTGATCACTTGGCTTAGAAACTACCACAGCTGGGGAAAAAGGACACGACATAGAAGTAGAGAAAATAAGAGCAGTCAATGGGATTCCTACAGAGACATTTGATGACACAGTAACAGAAGGGAAGAAATGTCTGCTGAGACTGAACCACTTCTGTGATGCACTTTACGGTAAAGAGAAACACAGGAGTTAATGGTGACACCCACAGCGGTTTGAAGGAAGAAGCCGATCAAGTTTACTGACACAATGAACAAACTTCATGGCAGCCTGAGCCAGAAAGGTGCAGCAAATTACTTTGACCTCCTGCATGACAGGCCATGGATTGCACTTAGATGCTAAAATGAGTTCATAACTTGGGCTAGACAAAAGACATGCCACCCCAATGTGGCTAAGCTGCTTTGGGCAACAGATGAAGGATATAGGTGTCATCAGAGCTCAGAATCAATCAGACAGGCTGTTCATATGACTGCAATAGGCAAATGAAGATGCAGACCATCCAGGGTACTTGGAAGAAATAGGATAAGAAATTATGGACATCTATTACTAGAGACTGCAATGGTGCCAGATCTATTGGTAATAGATTGTATTGAATAAGGTAGAACCTGTAGAAAACTGCTGTTCAGGGTTCTGCTTGGAGGTGGTAAAAAAGGTCCTGTTCTCACCACCAACATTCAATGATTAACTGTGCGCATACTCTCTGCGTATTGCTGACCAAAACACTAACCATGAGGATAACACCAACACAGAGATGATCGGCTCTGTCTCTCCTTGCATGTGATACAATTCTTCTCCAGTACAAATAACAACTCACTTGTTATTTGGCTCATAGTTTACTCACATGCTAAGATTACTTTGATGGAAGAAAACATATAAAGGAACTTCACAGAATGTACATGATGCCAAATAACTTGGAGTCCTTGTATCATAGTTGAAAAGGAGGATCTCAGTGCGGAGACAACTTGATTCTGAACATCCCATTAAGATTGTAGGCTGTAGCTCCAGACTGCATATGCACTATCAGAGAACTGTATACAGCGCTTCGTGTTGTGCTGTTGGGACAGAGATAGTCCCTCTTTAATCAATGTATCCACATATTAGGACTTGAACTGGATACCTTTCATTTATTTCATTCGTAACCATCAGAAAGGTGAACAAGAAAGTACTAGACACTGTTTTACTGTGCTCTGCAATTCTTATACTTTTCTGCAGTCTCCAATTAGTCTGCACTCAGAAGCAATGTAAAATCATGAGTATAGGACTACTAATCAAAAACGGTAAGAGAAGCTTTTCTTCAGCAGGTTTAGTGGTATGAGACATCTTTCTGCAGCTCTGCTGTTAGAAGAATTTCACATTATTTTTTTCCCTTTTACTGTTTCATACTAGAGTTCTGCCAGCTAGCATGAAGCACAGCAATAAGGGATTGATGCTCCCTGATTCAAACATGTTCTAACAGTTCATAAAAAATGTGCATCAGTGCAGGTCCAGAAATCAAATGCAGTGCCCATGAAAGTACATTGCTGTTAAAATTTAAAAGCAGTCGCTTGGAGACAGCAAGAGTTTTACCCCAGGATGCTTAAGTCGCCGAGAGCTTTAAGACAGGGGCTGCAGGTGATAGCTCTATTACGAAACATAACGTTGCTGACTTCCTTCCCCCTCGCATAAATCATGCAACTCACTCTGCAGAAGACACAACCTTCTTTGGGCTCAGTCTAAGATTCTGGAACCATATATCTTACCACTTATCCCAATCTACTACTTATTCTTGCCTTTCACTAATGCAGATACACAGAAGAGTACTGTAATAAACTCCTCCAATTTCGTCTTACAGGTAGGGAAAAAAGAAATGCTGGCATGACAGTGCTAATCGTGTGGCTCCATGCATTCTGGAAGACATTCATAGTACAGTGAGGATAACCATGTAAGAACCTGAATAGAAACACAAGCCTTTTATTTTCAGAATAAGAACAAAATTTCAACTTTTTTTGGAGGAAAAAAAAACCTCTTCAATTTCTACAAGATACTCTCTAAGAGAAGATAGGCTAGCTTCTTTCTGAGGTGGAGCCAATGATCAACTCTTAACATATCCTGAGTTATGTTAACACGTCCAAACAAAGGCAGAAATCCCAGTGCAAAACTAGGACGCAAGGGAGCACTTGCTGAAACTGCTCTTCAGTTTCCACCACAAGAAAAATCTCTGTAGGTAAAACTGATGGGCTGTTTCAGTACTCCCGCACTCCTCAGCACAGAGGCAGAGAAAGGAAATGAGAGACGCATGGGTTGAGAAACGTAGCTTTCTATGATGATAATCTCAGATGATAGTCTTAGTGCTACACTGACTGACCACGCAAAGACGTAACATCCTGAATGACACAGGGCATGACCGAGGGATCAGAACAAAGCCTTGTGTAGCCCGAGTCTGACAAAAGCCACATGTTGCAACTAGCCAAGGAGTCCCCAAATTTGCAGGAGATTAGTGACGAATTGCAAAGGAAACCTTGTAGAGACCGACAGCCCATTACGCAATCAGGCATTTTGATTCCCTCAAGTTATAGGCAAGGCCAAAACACTCTATACCCGCAAGAATTTGGATAGCAACCAAATGCTGTCCCATTACGCTCACCAACATACTTGTCATTAACACATATAGGAAGTAGGTCCACTTTGAGGCTTACCAAGCTGTCATTTCTTGGAAAGAACATTCTTCCACAAACACACAGTAATTGTGTGTGCCACTTGGCAAGTTTGTTATTTTGGGATTTCCATATGAAAAAGGAAAATTGGAAGAAATACCAACTAAGTAAAAAGTAAAACCTTTCAAGCAGCAGCAGTCTGGAAGACAGAGAGTGAACGATCATGCCCACTGCATGCTAGATACACTTATATTCCCAGAAAAAAATTTAACCATGAATTAAAGTCACTACAGTGACAGAATCAGAATGGGAGCGTAAAGGAGCAAGGAGAGACGATCTCAGCTTAGATCCAAAGTACACCAATTGCTGTTTTCCTCAGCTTTTGTTATCGGCCACAAGGACTATTCTATACGGTGTAGAGTGATCTGATCTCTGTAGACTGTGTAGATAAAGTCCAGGAAGTCAAAGGCACTGACAAGAACATAGGGGCAAACAAAGAAGCAGGGAGAGTCTGCCCTACTGCTGTGTATGTTGAAGCCACTAGTGAATAGAGAACTTCAGCCTGCAGGGGCTGAATTTGCTTTGTGTATTTTATTTTTTTTTTAAATTATATCTCCTTGTGCAGAGAAAGTGCACAAACCTGTTAAATTTACAAAATTCATGAAGACATGGATAAAAAAATATGTTGGTATGTGGCTGGTCCGCATATGTCTGTCTCTGCTTGCTTTGCACACACCTATAGAAATTAAGACACCTGTTCACCCTTCCCAGCACTGAAAGAAACAAAAATAGGCACACACCTCGCAAGTCACAGCTCTACAGACAGTGGTCATTACAGGCTAAGACAAAGAAGAAAATGATTCTCTCCTGAAAGGACTACTGGGTTAGCAGGCAGGTCTTTAGGACCTCTGGGGCTACTTAGTCATTTTTCTTCCTGCCAAGAGGGAAGTTGCTATGACAAGGAAAGCAATCTTATGTAAGGAGAAGCCACAAAGACTGATTCAAACTTATAAAAGACAAGGCCAGGCGCAGAATCTCCTACTTAACAACACAATTGAGTGCTAGCTTTAGCTCAAGTATTACCTTTCAGTGCTTCAGAGAAACAGCGTGTCCTTAATGTGAGTCAATATAACACGTACTGTGAGAGCAAAGATTCTCACAAGTGACATTTGTAGAGTACAGCAGTTGTGGCTTACGGTGTTACCTCCAACCTCTTGCGCTAGAGGTTACATCCTCTTCACAAAGGCAACAGCACAACCACCCACGTGCCAGGCGCTCAGCCAGTGTGAAACACAGACCCTTACGTAAGTTAAGTAGCATCCATTTCAGTTTTAAAGTGGCTGCCTTAACTCACCACCCGGACTAAGGTGCGCAGCACTGCTAGTACAGCTTTGTGCTAGGGCTGGCAACTTTGGCAAGACAGATGGCTGGAAACAGGCAGGCCTTAAACTGCCGCTAGAAAAACCAAGTAGAGGCATCAGAGACTGCTGGTTTGTCAGCTCAGACTGGCATCTCTCTGGTGCACAGGCTGGTTGTACAGTAGACAGCGATTCAGGACTAGAGTCTCAAATGCAGCCTTTAACTCTCACCATGCCACAACCGAGCAATCTAGCACCATGGCAGAGTGACCTAGCACCATGACGGGACAAGCCAGTACCACGACTGGGCTATCTAATGCCACGATGGAGCAAGCTGGTGCCAAAACTGAGTAACCCAGCACCGTGATGAAGTGGCCTGCCGCCACATTGGAATGACCCAGCACCATGATGGTGTGACCCAACACCAGCTGGGCCATCTAACTCCACGAAGAGGCAACCCAGTGCCACAACAGAGTGACGTGGCACCATGACTGCACGACCTGGCACCATGACTATGCCAACTAATGCCATGATCAGGCAAACTAGCACCTCAGCACCAAAACCAGGCAACCTAGCACCGTGGTGGAGTGAGTCAGAGTCACAACGAAGTGACTTGCCGCCACAGCAGAGCGACCCAGCACCATGATGGAGAGACCCAGCACCAACTGGGCCACTTAAGGCCATGACCAGGCAACCTAGTGCTACAACAGAACAACCCAGCGCCACGACCGGGCCAACTAAGGCCATAACCAGGCAGCGCAGCAATACAACAGAGCAATCTGGCACCATGACCAGGTGACCCAGTGCCACAACGAGGCCAACTAATGCCATAACCAGGCAACGCAGCGACACAACGGAGCCATCTGGTGCCATGACCAGGTGACCCAGTGCCTCAACCAGGCTAACTGATGCCACGACCAGGCAATGCAGCAACACAACAGAGCGACCCGGCACCACAACCAGACTACCTAATGCCATGACCAGGCAACCCAGCACCACGAGGGAGTGACCCACTGCTGTGACCAGGTGTCCTAGTGCCACAACGGAGCTACCCAGCACCATGACTGGGCGACCCAGTGCCAGGACCAGGTGTCCTAGCACCACGCTAGAGCGATCTAGCGCCGACCGCTGAACAGCCTGACAGCAGGCAGCCCGAGCACTGAGTGACCCTTTCTGCTCCACAACGCCGAGCGCCTAGGGGCCACAGACAGCCCAGCACCGGGCAACCGAAGGCCCTGGCCCCGCGGCAGGGAGGCGTTCGAGGAGCACCGACCTCGCTGGTGAACATGGCGCAGAAGTAGTCGCTGCAGGCGGCCAGGACGATGCGGTGGGCTGGGAAATCCTTGTGCTCCACGCGCAGGGTGACATCGCAGAGCGTGTTGCTCTTCCGCAGGGCGTTCATGGCGTTGAGGATGGACTTGGCGTGCGAGTTGGTCATGATGTCCTTGGGGGGGGCCATGGCGCCCGGCACCTGCGGGC